TCCTGCTAGTTCCATTCCTATTGCTACTGGTGTATCAGGCATGAAAAAAAACAACTCTTGTACTCTTCCAGTAGAACAGGAATTCCAGCAAGACCGTACATAGTGGATTCCTGGTCCATATCCAATGAACATAGAGATGTCTCCGGCAATCCATCCTCTAATTTAACCATGCGACAGCATGACAAAGGTGCTGCAGCCTCAATCTTCTCTTCCATATCCCCCATTCTCCGCCTTCAAGCACCCGAGCGTTTTCCAAAATAGAAACCGACAGTATTGACAACTGCCCTGGTCAGGAGAAAGAAGCCTTCGGCTGTGACGTCGACCAGGCTAGCGGGGTTCAGGCCGCAGATCCAGGGATGATTCGCCGAAGTAAGGAACCTAAGCAATAGACCTGGCACCCTAAACACTCCCATCTACTTATCCTTTGCTTGGGGCTGCCTGTATTCCTCGGCCACACTTGGGCTGTTGTTTCGGACCCTTGAGCACTAGGTCGCTTTGTCGGCATTGGTGTCAAGTCTAGGCTTTGTTGCGAGGAAGGCCATCAGGAGGTGGTCGGCATGCTGCTGTAGGCCAAGGCCGACGTCAACTCGGAGTTCGGCGCACTCGGCCAGCGTCCGGTGTGGGCGGAAAGTGCAGAATCTCAAGGAAGCCATCGCCGAGCGTACCACCTGGCGAGTAGCTCGCCTCCAGCGGCTTCGAGCGCCGTAGGGCTTTGACGACCACCAGCGGCGTCTACTACTCGGGCACATCGCCGCCGCTCCTTGACGACGAGAGCTTGAGCTCTGGAGCAAGCCGCGGCAGGAATGGCACCTTTCAGCACCACTGCCCCATGCGACATGCCAGCACAACTGCCATCACGGCAAGGCATCCCTCTTCCAACAACCAACACAGCAGTCGCAGCACAGCGGGGGCTCGGTCCAGACATCGGAGTGGCACTTCCTGGCGGAGATCCTCATGCTTGCGGGTTTGTGCAGGCTAGACTAGGATAAGTGCCTTTTTGGAATAAGGCTTCAGCCCACCCCAGTCAGTCTGCCCGAATCATATCATCTAGTCGGGGTCTGCAAGCAGAAGCACGTCCGAGTACTTGTTCGAGACGGATAATTCAAGAGCTAGCCTTTGTCTCTAATGCTGTATAACATAGGCTTTCTGGACACTGCTGGCATTCAGCCACGAAGGTCTTTGTCCCTAAGCCCTAGGCCCTAGACCATGAAGCAAAGACAGGACACAGAAATTAACTTACTCTAGGAGCAGTTTACAAGTAGAAAGCCCGAGTTTGTCCCTAAGCCCTGGGCCCTACACCCTAAACCCAAGACAGGACACAGTAGTAATTATTTTACGACCATTTTTTACACAGCCCGAGTTTCTCCCTAGGCCGTAGGTCCTACACCCTAAACCCAAGGGAGGACACATTAATTAGTGTAGGAGCAATTTACAAAGCCCGTGTTTGTCCCTAAGCCCTAGGTCCCAGACTTTAAACCCAAGAGAGTTAGTGTAGGAGCATATTATTTACAAAGCCCGAGTCTGTCCCGAAGCCCTTGTCCCTACACCCTAAAGCCCACCGAGGACACATTAGTTTTTAGTGTAGGAGCATTGTACAAAGCCCGAGTTTGTCCCTAAGCCCTAGGTCCTACAGCCTAAACCCAAGAGAGGACACATGAGTAAGTAGTGTGTGAGCATTTTACAAAGCCCGAGTTTGTTCCTAAGCCCTGGGCTCTACACCCTAAAGCCAAAAAAGGACACACTACTGTAGGAGCAATTTACAAGCCGGAGTTTGTACTTAAGCCCTAGGTCCTACACCCTTAACCCAAGAAAGGACACATTTTTAAATAGTGTAGGAGCATTTTAAATTTAACAAAGCCCGAGTTCGTCCCTTTGCCCTAGGCCCTACACCCTAAACCCAAGGGAGGAGACATTAATTAGTGTAGGAGCAATTTACCAAGTCCGTGTCACTCCCTAGGCCCTAGACCCTAAACCCAAGAGAGGACACATCGTGTAGGAGCATTCTACACATGAGGTGCCCGAGATGCCGCGGAATCGTCTTCGACCGAGCTGCTGAGTCTGAAACTCAGACACTGGAAAAAAGTGCAACACACGAGCAAGATTGACTATCCTAGTATCTAGCCAGCCGCACGGAATTCTTGGCATAAGAGGGAGAAGCCGAGGCATCCGTAGCCTGGAGAGGTCGCAAACAAGGGAGGTGTTCTTGCAATCCGGACGAAGGGTTCGCAGAGGGTCGCCGAAGGGGCTGGAGCAAGGGTTCGCAGAGGTTCGAGCCGAAGGGCCAAAGCGTTCGCAGAGGGCTGGTCGCCGAAGGCTCCGAGGGAGGGGTTCGCAGCCCTTCGCGGGGCTTCGCGGGGCTTCGCGGGGCTCTTCTTTGCCTATTAAGAGAGAGAGAAAGAGAGGGGTTCGCCGAAGCTCGCCGAACCCCCCGGCAGTCGGGGTTCGCAGGCCTGCGGTCGAAGGGGGTGTGCCTTCGCAGGGCCTTCGCGGGGTCCTTCCTGGTCAGGGCTTTTCGCAGCTAGCCTGCCAGCCTTTTCCTGCCGTTCTGACTGCTCAGGCCGGACCGAAGCGACGGCGATGCGGCTTCGACGATTCGGCTGCTTCCGAGCGAGTGCCCCTCTCTTGCTTTCCCGTCCTGCAAGTGTTTCTTGGGCATGGCCTGCAGTTAGTTGAAGAAGCCGAGCAAGACATTTGTCATTGCAGCAGAGGACTTTCTGCCAAAGCGCTCCTGCAGACATCAACTCCCAAGAGTAGTCCAATTTAGAACTCAACCCGGCCGTGGATTTGCTTAGCAGCATGCAGTAGAGCCAGTGAGAGGCAACATATCTAAGCACAACAACTTTCTCCCTGCACCTGAGTCTGGAAGGTTCCTTGAATGCAAGTCCCAAAAGTAGCCCCAGCACCTGAGGTTGTAAGGTTCCCTACATTGAAGGCAAGTCCGAAAGTAGTCCGAGCATTGACTGGCAGTCCGACTCGTAGTCACGTAGTGTCTGAGTCCTCGTCCGAGCACTTACTGCATTGCCTCAGATGGCCTTGGTGGAGGCGGCTCCGAAGAAGAAGGCCGAGAAGAGGTTCAGCACAAAATATGCTGCAGAAGTGTCCGAGGACATGTCTCCTGCTGATCGGCGGAAGAAGCTCGGGAAGATGTACGAGCTCAAACGTAAGGAGAGCCGCGGCCGAGTCAAGTCTCGGTATGGAGACCATGCAGAGGTGGCCGCTGCAAAAACGCCCGAAGAGCGTAGGAAGATCCTGCAGAAGCTGTACAAGAGAGGAAAAAAGTCGGCGGCCGAGAAGAAGAAGGCGAAGAAGAAGAAGGCCGACAAGAAGAAGATAAAGCACCGGGGCAGGCCAGCGGACCAGGACGGCATGGCTCTCTCGTCAGACAGCGAGGACCCTGCGGCCGAGGAGGCGGAAGAGGCGGAGGAAGAGGCCGAAGAGGACCGAGCAGGGATAAGAAATGACAGAGAGTCTTCCATGAGAATCATCAGCTACCTGAGGACTCTAACATAGTCGTACTCACCCTCGGACAGGCGTAGTTCAGACTCTGACCGGCCATTTTAAGACATGTACATCCTGTAGAAGTCTTCGCCGCGATCGGGAAATCAAACCACAGCAGGTTGCCCACATAAATCTTCTGCTGAGTTCTTGACAGCAGGAAGATCCAACCGAGGATGTGCCGGCCCAGCCTATCGCTGCTGCTTCGCCCGAGGAGGCTGCTGTCTCGCCCGAGGAGGAGCTGCGGCTTGCCCGGGATGAGCTGCGGCGGGCCAGGGTGAAGATCACTCAACTGGAGAGGCAGCTGAGGTGGCACGAGACGGTCCGGGACTGGGTGTCGCAGGCTGTGGTCTGGGGGTACACCAACAGAAGATGTGTCGAGACCCTGCCCGAGTGGGTGTGGCTTGAGGGCCGAGACCTGGCCGAGACCTATGCCGAGCACGTCCGAGTGAGGCACCAGGTCGCCGCTGCGAGTCAGGCCAGCGAGGCCGACGAAGCCCCGAGGACGCCGATCAGGCACCGTTTTTTGGGAAAGCATCCGCAAGGGTAGATGCTTCGTCCGAGGGGCAGTCGTCCGAGGTGCAGCAGCAAAAAAGAGTCGCTTCGCACGTGAAGAGGGAACGGTTCAGTACAGGATTGACATGTAACGGCCGTCAGCTAGGACATGTTCGAGACGGTTCTTTCATTTCGCAGGCCCGAGGAGCACTTGTCTAGAGGCCAGGCTTTGCAGTTCTGAGGCTCTAGGCACAGATCCAGTTGCAGCGGTTGCAGGCATGAGACCAGAAATCCATTGGAACTTGCTGCTTGAAAGCAACCTGCACGATTTTCCGAGCGATACTCTGCATTCCAGGAAGCTGTCGCCAGCTCAAAATTAGAAGAGAGGGAGCAGACGAGGATGCGAATGCAAGATTCAATTACTGCACAGGCAGGCAGCCACTATAATAATAATGTTATGCATCAGGTACAGACAGAAGCCGAGGATTCACTGCAATTCAAGCAAGGCCAGCAGCGAGCAAAGGCCAGCAGCTACATTAGACATTTCATACAACATTCAACAATCAGTAAACAAACAATTGTTTAGGAAGCCTCCTCGCGGACAATCCTGCAGTTCTGGGGAATTGCAGGAGATCTGACCTGGAGACCCGGGACCATATCCTCATCTGGGCAAAGGTGCCCGAGCTCTGATCTTCACTTTCGGGCAAAGGTGCCCGAGCTCTGATCTTCACTTTCGGGCAAAGGTGCCCGAGCTCTGATTTGCACTTTCGGGCAAAGCTGCCCGAGCTCTGGTCTGCATTTTCGGGCAAAGGTGCCCGAGCTCTGGTCTGTATTTTCGGGCAAAGGTGCCCGAGCTCTGGTCTGCATCGGGCAAAGGTGCCCCAACTCTGATCTGCACTTTCGGGCAAAACCGCCCGAGCCCTGATCTGCACTTTCGGGCACAACCGCCCGAGACCTGACCTCCCGAGTCCTCCGAGCTCTTGCGTCTGCCCGAGCTCCGCCTGCCCGAGATGCCGCCGAAGAAGGGCAAGAAGGCGGAGGCAGCGGCGGCCAAGAAGGCCCGTCTGGAGGACAAGGAGAAGGTTCAGGTCCGAGAGGCGATCGCCTTGCAGCAGAGGCAGGGCCAGGCTCAGATTCTGAGCGAGCTCATGGGCTACTTCGAGTCCCACCCGAGCGAAGCCAGCTTTATGCTGGCTAACATCAAGGCCGGGCACATGGACTTCAACAACGAGCCCGAGCCGTCCGAGACCAAGCTGCCGGGCCACATGAACAAGGTGAAGCTGTTGAGCAAGGAGGTCAGTCTGGGCATACTGTCCGAGCTCAACAGCGGCCTGTCCGAGTGGCTGAGCACGACAACGGTGCAGCCGGCGCCCGAGGACGGCGGGAGGCAGAAGTCCTTGTCGAGGCTGGATGTGGCCAGCGTGCTGGGTTACCTCTGTGGGATGGACCCTGCGAGTGCTCTGCCGTGCAAGAGCCTTGGGCGACTGACGAGGAAGCTCAAGGAGCGGTACGAGTTACTCGGCGCCCGAGGGTCCACCTTCCGAGTGTCCGAGCAGAAGACGTTGAAGGACTGGAGCGGTACAAGTTGTGTGAAACTGGGAGTGGAATCCCCCTAATTAATTCATTAATTAATTAATTAATTAATACTTAGCAAGAATAATTAGTATTAGTACGTAACTCAGTCACTGAGACACAGGACTTCTGGGCGGAGCACAGCTACTGGAGCCTCGAGAAGATCGCGGATGGGCAGTTCAACCTCGTCGACAACACCTTGGTCACATCCGCCGCCCGAGCCAAGACCAAGGTCAAGCTTCCGGCCGAGCTCTGTGCAGGAGGTGACCCCGTCTTGGCCGATCCCTTCCTGTGGGCCAAATGCACAATCAAGCGGGGAGTGTGCGTCCGAGCTGTGGGCCAGCTGCTGGAGGAGATGAAGATTCAAGACCGCTTCGCGGTGAGTCGGCCCCTCGTGCTGAAGGAGTGTGACGGCGGCCCCGAGACTCCTACCAAGAAGAAGATCACCACTCCAAACGAGGCGTCCGAGAAAAGCCAGCAGCCGGGTCCCACAGCGAACAAGACGCCCCAGTCTCGGAAGAGAAAGCGGCTTCAAACTTCCGAGTCCCCAGGCTCACCCAAGACGCCTCGGAGGCGGCTGTTCTCGCCCGGAAGCAACGGTGCCGGGCCCGGGCCGAAGGCAAAGTCGCGTCCGAGCACTCCCAAGTCCTCCAACAAGGGCGAGACCGACGAGGCAGATGAGGAGCTCCCCGAACTCGAGGGGAACGAGGGCGAGCCTCCCGAGAACGGCGACGGCACTTTTCAAATGTGATGCGTCCGAGGAGGCATCTGGGTGTTCCAACTTTCTGACAGTGGGGCTGTAGAAGAAAGAGTTCCCTCCCGACGAAGCCGGCCAGACCGGTGGGCCGCTCTGGAGTAGCTTCGTATTTTGGTTCCATAGCCTCCATGCCATCAGTCAGTGACGTTGCGAAGACACGAGCAACACACCCTGGCTGGACAAAAAGTTACAAGGGTTTGGCCTTGCACCTGAATTCAATTCCAGACCTGCACGACCCATGCTGTCCCATCCTTGCGAGGTACCTGCTGCCTGGGCGTTCTTGCCATCGGACAACTTCGATGCCGACTTCAGGCACACGGGGTCAAGAAGTCTTTCCTTTGTTCCGGATTGAATTCTGAGAATCTGCCATGCGAGTTTATTTGGTCCTGGCAGTCCTCTCCTCGCAACGGTAACTGCACATGTCAGGGTAACCTGCTGCCTCTGTACCCCAACTAGTTATTATATACAACTATGTCCACACTTGCTGAACGAGACTAGGCTGTCTTCCTACAAACTCACAGGGGCTTGCTTTGACTATGGGGTCAGAATAAATACAGAATTAACAATAATCATGAATCATCATCTACATCCGTGCTGCCGTTACAGTCTCAAAGTTTCAAAGGGCCACAGCTCTCTGTATGGGGTCGTCGACAACTCTTCAAAACTCTCGCTCTGCACGAAATCCCAGTCACTAATTAATATTATCAGTACTGTACTGTTGTCACGTTATTATGTATCCTTAGTACTTCTTCTTCTTATAATTATTTACTACTATTACTACTATTATTTAGTATTGCCACCCGACAAATGCATTGCAGGTCAATCAATCCCTGCTTGTCCCAATTCCTTTTTTTTTTTGCTTTTTTCGTCCACTACAAGTAAGAATCATCATGACTGCCGAACCGGCTCCAAATGATCCCAATGCACTCGCCGCTTGCAAACAAGAGCCGCACGAGGGCCACCTGAAAATCATTGCCACTTGGAACGACATCACGATTCTGGAGCATCATATGACCAAGGAAACATTGTTGCTGCGTGGCGAGGTCACATTGAAATTCAATGCTGCCGGTTTCGCGTTCGTCCGAGTGGCAGGGGAGAGTACGTGGCTGTCGAAGCTCTTGAAGTATCACCTTTTTAGACGTGCTTCCAGCGAGGGCGACACGTCCGAGGGCTCGTCGGAGACGGAGCCTTTCGTTATTACCCGCACAGAGACAGGAACCCAGTCGCAATGGCTGAAAAGCTTCCTCCTTGGAAGAAGACTGTTGCAGACTGATTTGTCAACCGCACTCCAAACGGAGAAACCAGTCTCCATTCTGCAAGCCCGAGGACCCTGTAGGCATTTCTGGCGGCTTACTTCCTTTATCCGAAAGCCACGACAGACGATTATGGGCAAGCTGCGACGGTTCTGGCTGCCAGCCTTTGTGTCCGAGCTCCAGCTGGAAAGCGGGAGAGGGCACGTGCTCTGGCCGCCTCACTGCAAGGAGACGGGACAAGGCGAAACGGAGGACACGGCTCATGATCTGTTCGTCAGCACGTTGTTTCTCTGCTTTCTGCTGCATATGTTGTACGTCTACTCTGATGAGACCACGACATTGCTCCCCCTGTTCCTTCAGAGGTTGTTGCCGGAGAAGTGGAGGGTTCGGGTCGCGTCCGAGGCAGCTTCTCTGGTCATCCGACACGGCAATGTCACATTGTCCGAGTTGACCGAGAGGACCTGCTACAAAGAGCGGATGCGGGGCTCCAAGAAGACTGTGCCCATGAAGTCCAGGAAGACCCAGCCCGTGCACGAGGTGCTCAAGCAACTCTGGAGGACGAAGGCCCTGCGGTGGCTTCGAGCAGACGTCTTGAAAGGCTTGTCCGGGGCAGTGGATGCTGGTGTTCTGGCCTCCGACTTCGGGGAGGATCCCTGCCAGGACTCCATTTTCGACAGCAGCGACAAGCCAGACATGCGTGATCCTGCCGTCCGAATGGCCAGAGTGCGAGCAGCCCGCGTCGTCCGAGGCCCCGCCGATGCCAAGCTGTCCGCCCGAGCCAAGACCAACCTGAAGGTGCAGAAGGTCCGAGCTCGGTCGATGGTGAAGGCCAGGCAGCGCGTCCGAGAACGGTTCCAGTATTGGATGTCCTGCAGGCGGGTGCTTGGATCGGCGAAGACGTTGCACATTGCCTTCGATGCGTCCCGAGTCGGAGGCAAGAAGAGGTCGTACTATGCGATCCTGGACAGCCACACTGGGTTGGCAGCATGGGGGCCACCGCTGATTCTGAGGGATTCTGGGTACAGGGCTGTCACGTCCGAGCCCACTCCCGAGGAGCAGGGGAGGCTGGACTCCAAGACCCGAGGGTATCTGCTGAGCTTGCGTGCCCGAGACAATGCTCTGTCGTCCGAGGCTGCGGCGCCTGTGGTCGAGAAGAAGCAGCGGTTGCCTTCTTTCGAGCAGGTGGTGGCGCTGGAGCAGACGTTGCAGAGCATGTGTCCGAGTGCAGCAAGCCTGCTGGAGTTCACAGCCCCAGACCCGGAAGGTCGCCTGGAGATGCCCGTGCTGTGTTTCAATGCGGACGCTGGGCCGGACGTAATGAGCTGCTTACAGTTCTTGCAGAACCACGTCCGAGTCCGCATGATCCACTTTTGGGATCCAAGACACCGACTCGCCCGAGAGTTGGAAAATGCTGTGAGCCATGCAAAGCTGAAAGGCGCCCTGTCCCTAGGCGAGCTAGTTATCAACTTTAGTCGGGGCCCGTGGAGCTCGCACAAATGGTTCCGCCGTCTGCAGGAGGAGATGGTAGACTTCGCTGCAACACTGTCTGCTGCACCGCCAGACGTGCGAGAGAGAGGCGGCTTTCTCTTTCAGCATCTCCGGGAGGAGATTGCACTCCAGGCTGGCTTGCATGTCGAGGAAGTCACACCCGAGAAATGCAAGGATCTCTTGCAACACAGCGGCTTCTTGAGGAAGCGTGGGCCCAGCAACATGAGCAGGTGGGATGCATTTGCTGTGGGTTGGTCCGAGAGAAAGTCCGAGCTGGGCCTCCTGAAGCTACTGTGCCTGTCCTATGGCCTCAAAGCCGGCTATCTCCAGCCGGCGACCAATGCCGCCGCCAACCGAGCTACCGAAGAATGGGCCGGCCAGGTCTTGTCCGAGGGCGACGGAGACAACACATTGGGCTCTGATGCCAAGCAGCGCCTGTTCCAGAAGTGCGTCAACAAGCTTCATGTGGTCACCAACATCTTGTTGCAGAAAGACACGTGTGACAAGCTCAACTGTTGGTTTCACTTGAGTTGGCCGATCTCTCAGGAGCTGCATCGCCTCAGGACCACCCTGAAGAGAGGTCGAGATGGTTGTGAACAGCATCTCCTAGAAGAGGCCCGCGGCTCTAGCTTGGAAGTCCTCACGACCATCTTCGAGACTGCAGTGTGTCCCGACGTCCGAGAAGACCTGGCTATTTGGCACGGTGCCCGCCTCGGTGCAGGGATGATCGGCCGAATGACGGTCGAGGACCCTATCGTCAAATTCCAGAACAAGACATGCCAGATGGTGCTGGAAACTGCTTTGGAATTGGCTCACGTCAAGATGCAGTATGCCTCGGTTACCATGTTTTCTTGGCCCTCCCAGCTCGTCCTCCTTGCCTTCGGAACCGAAGAAGAGCAGAACGTTACACTCGTGAATCTGTACCTGTCCGAGCAGGCACACGCCCGAGCCATGGCCAACAGCGAGAAGCTGAAATGGCTCCGGGTGTTTGCAAAGCGATCGCCGATGGGGTCCAGGCTTATGCGGGACGTCGTCGCGAACTTGCATTCGTCCGAGTGGCGCATCACGAAACGTTTGCTGAATTGGCTGCAGCCGCTCTTCCGAGGTTTGGGGGCCACCTGGAACGAGGAAGCGTTTGGCGACGCCCGAGAGTTGGAGGGCAAGGAGAACAAGGGCCACGAGCTGAGCTCCACGGAGGCTTGGGAGTGTTGCTCTTACAGTCGGACGCTCACCTCCTTTGGATTTCGGGAAATCCAAACCGAGCCGACCGAGGCCGAAGGCAACATTCCCGAGTCTCTCTTCCGTCTGGAGAAAAACAAGGTGCCCGAGAAATTGAAAGCAATAACTGCACCAATGAAGTGGACCTCCCTCAGCCAAATTGGTCTTTGTGCTGTGGCCTGCGAGTTGGCCGTCCTGAAGGATGCCATGGATCAGGACCGAGTGGCTCAGCTTAGCGACTCCTGGCGGAGCGGGATGTTAAGAAGAGGCACCGTAGTTGGCCACACCTCTTTTCCCGAGTCCGACAGATATCTATCCATGGGCGCCTGGCCATCGCATTCCGGTGCACTTCTGCTGCCCTTGAAAACCTGCCAGGGCGGCTTCAACTTGGACCTTCCACTCACAAAAGACAAGCTGAAGTTTGTTCAGGTCTTTCGACTCTCCGATTGGTTTGCGTTGCCCACGACCGTTAAGAGCCCTTTGCACCATGCCATTCGAAACGGCGGCACTCCGACAACCGCACCCCTCCTCACGGTGACAGGCGAAGCCCGGAAACCTATCCTTCAGTACTGTGCGGAGCATGCTTTCTTCGACATGGACGAAACACGACTGTCTTTCATTCTCAAGGAAGAGTGTGGCATGGGAGACCTCGATTTTTCCAATGCCGAAACTGCCTTGGGTGAGATGCTTTCCACGGCCGTTCAAAAGACTCTGTCTGTGTCCGAGGACCAGGCAGCAGACATCATGGAAAGGTCCCTGAAGTATCGACAAGCCGATGATGCAGATTTGAATGAAATCCTGCAGTCGCCCGAGTTTCAGGAGCTCCTGACGGCCGAAACTGACAAGCAAATCAAGGAAGTCTTGTCCGAGTCCAAAACAAAGCATCGCAAGGCCATGTCCGTGTCAGCAAAGATCCGGCAAACCCGGACTGCTGCAGTCAAGAAGGACAAAAAAAAAAGGACGTCAAGCGGAAGCCTGTGAGGTTCGAGTCGAAACAACTTTACTCGGAGGAACACGTCAATGGTTGGTTGCCGC